GCCTGGAATCACACTCAGTCCCAAGGCTTCAGCCAAAGAATAGCTAGGAGGAGTACAAGGTGAACATATACACCAGGGAGGTGCCCTCTTAGAACAATCAACCACAGGAGACCAGAAGGGCAGTACCTGCACAGGGAGAGAGCCCCGGGGGCAGAATGCATAGGACAGGAGGACACAGGGAAAGTGACCACGGGAGGTGGGAAGAGAACTGTCACATTACAGGGATTGCAATCACTTGTCATGGAACACAATGTGTCTGAGCTGCTGTACGTTGTTGTTGTTGTGTGCCATGGAGTTGGCCCCAACTCACTGCGGCCCCTCCTTGGGTTTCCCAGGCCGAAGCAGATGTATGCAAAATGGCTTTGTTCTGTAAACTGTCACCCAAATCACAATAAAATAATAAAAGGTCTGTAAGATCAAACCCTTTACATAACTTTCCCCAAAGATTATAATAGACAGGACCTTTTTATACGGCACAGTGAACCCAGAAAAACTACTCTGCGTGCCACGTTTCATGACTTTAGTGCAGCTTTGAATAATTGAGTATACCCCCGCAGGCATCGCGCTCCCCTTCCTGCGACGACCATCCCGCCGACGCTGCCCCCGCCCCCGCCATCCCCCCTCCATCACTCCCCTGCGTCCCTCCCCCACCGATTTACACTCCCCCCGCCGACATGGCCCTTCCCGCAGACGTCAGGCCTCTCCCCACCAGAGTCGTGCTGTCGGAGAGGCAGCGGTAGTCCCAGGCAGGCCCGACACGGTGACCCCGAGCTCACATGCTTGTAGCTCCAGGGCCTGGGGTCCCACGGTGGCTCCTCACACAGGGAATGTGGTACCGACAGGCACTGGGTACAGGCCAGGTGGGGTTTTGCTCAGATGTCTAGAACACGCTACCCTGGGAGGTGTGCCAGCGCCTCGCAGGGCCCCAACTCCTGGCCACGGTGTCTGCTCGCTCCCCACCTGTTTTGATTTGCTAGGTCAGCCGCAGGGATCAGGTGAGGAGAAGGAACCCAGGCACACCCAAAGCAGCAGGGCGGGAGAGCAGGAGAAAGGGAATTAAAAGCCAGGAACCCAGAGAGAGGAGCAATCAGCCGCAGAGATCCAGGTGAGGAGAGGGAACTCAGGCACGCCCAAAGCAGCAGGGCGGGAGAGCAGAAGAAAGCGGATAAAAAGCCAGGAACCCAGACAGAGGAGCAATCAGCCACAGGGATCCAGGCGAGGAGAGGGAACTGAGGCACGCCGAAAGCAGCAGGGCAGGAGAGTGAGAGAAAGGGGATGAAAATGCCCAGGAATCCGGACAGAGGAAAAGTCAGCCGCAGGGACCCAGGTAAGGGCGGTATGAGAGGTTTCCAACAGGGAGACAAACTTGGGTTCATCTTTAAGAGACAATCTTAGATTCATCAATCTGCTGGGATCCATGTACACGAGGCATGACGCACACAGGACGTGCTTGGAGCCCGGGTGCAGGACAGTGAGTGCTGAAGGCCGGCTCCACCAGCCAACCCGCTGTGCGACCTTCCTGTCCTCGTGTGTGGGACAGGAGGGCCTGCCACGTGGGTGCACGGTCCCTGCTGGCTCCAGAGATTCACCCCTCTGCGAGCACCAGGAACCTGCCGTGCCAGGTCTCCACAGGGCGGAAGGAGCCCCGGGAGGTACCACCAGGCGATGAGGAAGGGACCCTCCTGCCAGGGGAGGTGCAGGCCCGAGAGGATGTTGCTCAAACCCTATCAGCCGATGTCTGGTCTGTGTGCCTTCGCTCTGCCTCAGGGTCGCTCCACCAAATGTGAAAGGCACTGAGCAGAGGAGGCGTGTGGGAGGGGAGCTTCCTCCAGAACACTGCCTGCTCTGCCCGGCGGCGCTCCGCAGCCTGGTGCTCCCCAGCGGTCAGTGGTCAGCACAGTTGCCGAGTCCCAGGGCCCCTGCTGGCCAGTGTCCCCCGGGCCTGGTGCCCGTCTCCACCTAGAGGCTGGCCTCCAACACGCCCTGCCCTCACTGTTCCCAAAGCTGCAGGCATTCCAGGAGTTTCTCCCTCCTTCGTGGAGAGTGGGTGGGTTCTGGGTCAGCCACAAACCACTCACGCTCCTACAAGATACCGGCCTGTCCTGGATTAGAGGGCCAGGACACCCCTCCGTGTAGCTGACGGCTGCTCTGTCGCTCTCCCTGAGGCCAGTCCTTGGCCAAGTTCCCAGGGCGCTGACCTCTGACATCCTCCAGCATGCCCTGGCCCATCCTCTATCCGAACGCCCCCCGGAGGCAGGCAGCCCTTTCCTGACAGCACATTCCTCCCACATGTCCCTCACAAACATCCCAGACCTCCTCCAGGTTTTTTACAACAGAACTGATTCAGTCAGATTTTAATTGAAGGAACCTGAGAGGTAAAGGGGAAACGCACCACCACAGGCCTCGTGGGCAGTGCTCCCAGGCAGGCACCTGGATGGCTTTGTGGCACCCACAGTCCTGCTTCTCATCCTCCTCAGAGGGGGCCTAGACCCTGGAGGCCATGCCCTGCCCCCAGTCTTGTGGCCGGGACCCCTCTGGCACGTCACTTCACCTTCCTCAGCCCTTCCCTCCTCTGAACACAGGAGCTGCTGTGCTGCCTCCTCAGGGTCTCTGGACTAACCATGCCGGGATGCTGGGCCCGGGGCTGGCGCCTGGCACACCCCATGACTGGCAGCATCGTGGATGTGAGGGTCCAAGTGAGTCACGGCTGGGCTTGGGGCCCACTCTCTGTATAGATGAGGAGTTTTCACTATGGCCCCCAGGCCAGCAGCATTAGTATCCCCTGGGAATTTGTCAGAAAGTTCCAGTCCAGCCCGATTGGAACAGAAATGCCGGGATCAGCCCTCCGAGCGATCCTGGGGCCGCTCACATCTGAGAACTGCTGGCCCAGGTGCGTAATTCACCAGGGTTGTTTTGAATCACAGATTCACCCTCTGGAGCCAGGACAGAACTCTTACCAGCGGACACTTTCACTCGCTACAGAGGGACACGGGGCTCAGTCTCCTTGTCACCCTCGATCACACCTGCCCACCAGTGCTGCGTGACGCTTTCACGTCCATTTCCCGTGAGCCCCACGACCCTGCTGCTGTGAACAAGCCAGACAGGCAGGTCCCACCCAGTTTATAAGAGGAGACCAAGGCTCAGAGGTCACCAGCAGGGCCGGTCGTGGGCCAGGCCCATGAGGAATCAGGGCTAGCCTCTGTCCGAGACGGGATCCAGGCCGTCATTTCCGCTCCACAGCGAGGTTCCCATGAGGTCACACTTCCACCCGACACGTACTGCTCTAGAATCCTTGCCTTGCTTGCACTTGGAGGGCTTCTGGTAACTGCCTCACACACCCACTGCCAGTGCATCAATTCCAACTCACAGCAACCCTGTAGGGTAGAACAGAGCTGCCCCAGAGGGTGTCCAAGGCTGTAACCCTTTACGGAAGCAGACTGCCTCATCCTTCTCTTGTGCAGCAGGTGGCGGGTGTGAACCACTGACCTTCTGGTTAGCAGCCAAATTACCTACTATGCCACACGAGCTCTGTGGTAACTGCTTCTTCTGGTTACCTAGTGCCACTCTGCCAAGACTGTACCACAAATGGGATGGCCTTAACAAACAGGAGTTTATTCTCTCACAGTTTGGAGGCTTTAAGTCCAAGTGCAAAGTGCCAGGCTCTAGGGGCTGGGTGAAAGCCTCTCGACCTTGGGCTTCAGCTCTGCCTCCTGCTCCCACTGAAGCTGGAGGCATCTCTTCACTCAGGCAGCTGCTGGCTGCCTTGAGGCTAACAAGCCCAAGGTCAACAAATAAAGGCACAGTCCCAATGTTACGAAACCACATGGCAGGCCATTAGTTCAAGTCCATTGTAAGTCCCAAGGTCGGCAGAGCATGGCAGGCTGCTGAATGACATGGCCACATGCAGGGTCCAAGCGTGCCATAAACTAAAGACCATTCCCCAAGGCTTCTCTTTATGTACAGGAAGCAGACTAGATCCCTAAGGCAGCTACTCAGCTGCTCCCAGTAGATTCCACCGTGGAGCTGATGACCAGTCTCATCATGGGGGATCCTACATCCAGCTGCCCAGTCACTCAGCCAGGCCCCGCCAAGTTGACAAAAAAAACTTAATCACCCCACTGCCTTTAAGCAAAACAAAACAAAACTCACTGCTGTTGAGTTGGATCCCACTCATAGCGACCCCTCCTTGGGTTTGAGGCAGTATCTATACAGAAGTAGACTGCCCAAACTTCTTTCCGAGGAGTGGCTGGTGGGTTTGAACCACCAGCCTTCTGGTTAGCAGTCAGATGCCTTAGGTACTGCACCACCAGAGCTCCTGGTAACTGCTTTAGATGGAGAAAAATAAGGAAAATTCTTTTGACATTAGTGCCACTTAGAAAAACATCAGCCGACTTGTCCTGCGTACTCTGCCTCATGCATTATCATTTCCTGGGGGAAGCTTCTCCTAGAGCCCACAACTCACCCACCACGCGAGCATCACCACCTTCCTCTCCAAAGGCCTTCGCAATGCGGTCGGCCTTCCTGCGCCTCCTCGCTCGCTGGTCCTCTCGCTACGGTAGGACCTGTACACCATCATCCCCTCCATTCTCCAGATGACGGACTGCAGCTCAGGGAAGTCACACAGCCAAGCAGCAGCGTGTCCTGACCGTCAGAGGTGGGCGTGTGCCTAGATGCTGCTCCTGCTCCATGCCTGTGGTAACTGGGACACCCTGTAGTCCCCCAGGGTTCCCAGTGCCGGGTGGCTCTGCAAGATCCCGGCTGCCTCACCATGCGGGTTACCAGTGCTCTGCCGAGACTAAGACTGGCACCCAGGAGAGCCAAGAGGACAGTGCCACAGAAAGCAGGACCCAACAGGCAGAGGTGGGTCTCAGGTGTTTATTCCTATCTCCAAGTAAATGGGGCTCGCATGAGGGCACGGCCAGGTTCCCTGACCCTAATGTTCTTGCTTCAATCACAGCCAGACTGACGTCTCATCTGACGGACACTCCACGTGAAGCTGCTCAGTGGTGGCCGTGGGCAGGCGCAGGGCTCGAAGCTTTTGGAAGAGAAACAGCAGAAAGACAGTGAAGGGAGGAACAAGGCAGACACGATTTATCATGCAGATGTCAGTGTCAGAAAGTGCAAACGATGATTTTCCAACTCAAGACAGGTCAGAGGATGACCACCACGTGGGACCAGCAGGGCTGTGCCCCTCAGGTGCAAGCAGGAGGGCTGGGACGGCCACTCCTCACAAGGCACACTGCGTGCGCACACGACTCAGACCACTGCAGCATCACTGCTATCTGGAAATCAAATGACACGGAAATGCCAGCCCGCGCTTGGCACTCCCTTCCAGACCCCTCTGTGTTAGGCACACGTCACTAGGGGGTTCACAAGGACAGTAAGCCTGTGCAGCTGAGGAGTGCGTCCCCACCAGTGACCTCAGCCACCCGATTAACCCACTCGTCACTGCTCCAGGAGTGCCACTAGCGCCAGATGGGTGAGCGGCGGGTGCTAACACCCAAGCAGATGCTTCCCCGGCGGCCGGTCCTCAAGTCCTCCACCGTGTCTCACACATTTGCTGGCCGCATGGCAACTTCATTTCCAAACAGTGAACCACATGCTTCAGCCCCAGCCACAGTGCCCCCTCAGAAAGTGAGGCTCTTACCTTTCAAAGCTTTACTTCTTTTATCTAAAATAAAAAGGAGAGGTTGGTCATATTGGCGCTCTGAACAATGTCTTCAGTCAACGCGCTTCTGAAGTCAGCATCTGGCTGGCAGCTCACCACTTCAGGGAGCCATTCTCGAAGTTTTCCGATAGTAGAAAAGTTAACGTTCCATCTCACAGCCAAGTCACTGCCAGAGATGTTCTCTGAGCAGGTAACAGCACCGCAGGCTCTGGGCACGTCACTCCTACCATGTCCTCCAATGTTTCCCTCACAAACAAAGCTGTCTTCTTTTTCTCAGCATAAATTTGCCATTTACCATTTCAAAATGTGTAACTCAGTGACGTTACATTCCACAGTGTATAGCCGTGATCATTATTAAGTTCTACAACATTTTCACCCCCTAAACAGCACCTCAGCTCCCCATAAGTAAGACCTCCCATCTCCCCTCCCCCAGCCCCTGGGGACCTCTAATCAACTCCGGTCTCCACACATGAGCCTTTCTGGATGTTTCACAGGAGTAGGGTCACACGGTGTTTGTCCCTGTGACCAAATGATTTCACTCTGCACAATGCTTTCAAAGTTCATCCATGTGGACCAAGACTCCACTGCCCATCACAGCTGACAAATATTCCACTGTATGGGCACAGTGTGTCTACCCGCCCATCTGGTGAGGGCACTTTTTAGTCAATGCCTCAGTGATACCTGTGACCATGTCCCACCTCTGTCCCACTGAGAACCAAGTGGGTATGTGTTTCCACACTTGTATTACAAGAACATTTTAGAAAAGGTACAACAGGCACCGTGTATCATGGGACTTCACCCTGAAAAACTCCTGTCTGCACCTCTTACACATACCCCCCATATCTGCAATACAGCCATAATGCCTAAGAACCCAAAAGCCAAACCCACTGCCGTGGAGTCCATTCTGACCCACAGCGCCCCTAGAGGACAGAGTGGAACTGCCCAACAGGGTCTCCAAGGCTGTCAATCTTCACAGAAGCCAACTGCCTCATCTTTCTCCTTTGGAGCGGCTGGTGGGTGTGAACCACCAACCTTCCATTTAGTAACCAATTGCTTAACCACTGCACCACTATGGCCTAAGAAAATCCCTAATTCCCTAAGATCACCAAGGCGCTTGCATCTCCCCAGTGGTCTTTTACAGCCTCCAGGCCATCCCTGTTGCCCCGCCAGCAGGCCACCAGGTCCCTGCACTGTGTCTGGGTCCCAACTTCTCAGTTCTTCCCCCGGCCTTTTCTCCCCATGGTACCGATGCTGTAGCCACCGAGCCAGTAACCATCTTGTTTCCTTCTGGGATCTCGTCTTTGGAAACGCTCACACAGAGAATCACACAGAAGGAATATGGTACCTGCACATACCCATCCCCCAACTTCAGTAACCACCAACCACCAACTCTCCCAACTGCCGATCTTGTCATCGCCTCTGACTCCTCTCTTCCCTCTTTTCGCTGGAGTTCTTAACACAAACACCAGTCAGTCAGCATCCTCCTCAAAGGCTCCGGTGCAGCAGAACCGCCACCCCACACCTGGCAGAAGACCCTCTCTCCCTTCCTAACACTCCCCTCACTCTCACATGTCCTAGAAAGGGGCCTGGCAGGTGCACAAAGAACCCAAGGGCTGGTGCGACTCCTCATTAAGCCCGCAGCCTGAAGTGTGCCCTCCTGCATGTCACCGCTGTTGTCAGAGGTGCCCCCAGAAGACACACTGGGGACATCAAGTCACAGATTCTTATGGTTCCTCTGCAACAGGAACCAAACTAGGAGTGATTCCCTTGTTGGCTTCACCAAATCCACGGGAAGATGCTTACCGGCACGGCGGATCTTGTAAATGATCAAGCCCATGAGGCCCATCCCTACCCAGATCTCCTGGTACACCTGGGTGTAGTAGGGCTTCATGGGCACCCAGACATTCTTAACGAGGCTTTGCAGCATCTGAAAGCGAAACACAGTGATAAATGTCAGCATGGCTACTGTTCTAACCTAGGAGCCCGGTGGCTCAACAGGGTAAGGGCCTGGCAGCCTGGAAGGTTGATGGTTTGAACGCACCCAGCACCTCTGTGGGAGAAAGCCCTGGGGGTCTCCTCTCGGAAAGGTCATGGCAGGGAAAACCCTAAGGGACGGTTTGGCTCCGTCACGCGGGTCCCTGTGAGTCAGAGCCCACTCGACAGCACCCAGTAACAGCGACACTGTGTAAGCCTGGCTACCTATTAAGTTTGACCCTATTTCCACTGCTGCCCGACAGGGAGCCACTCTTGGGATAGACTGCTGCCCCCTTCCCCAGGGCCACCCCACACTTGCATGGCGGTCATGTCCTCCACCACCTGGGGCTCTGGTTTTGTCCACAGCCCTTCAAGCACAACCCCCACTCTCTGCCTCCCGCTTGGCGGTGCTGGTGCTCGGTCATCTCTCCCAAGCACCAGAGTGGCCACAGGCAGGCTGTGACCAGGGTCGTCTCCATGCCTCCCCTCCTCCATGGCTGTCCTCCATAACACCATGCCCAGAGCTACACTCAGTTTCTGAAAAGTCTCAACTGAAAAGCGAGGATGTGCTCATGCTCGTGTTAGGCACTGTGCTGGCGTTCAAGGCTGGACAGAACATGGCCGAGGGATGCTGACTCCCCTGTGAAGCTGACACACAGGCAGGGGTGCCCTGTGATCAGCTGTAGCTCAGTCTGGAAGTCCCCTGCAATGTCACACAGACAGCCTACGGAGATGCGGGTATGGCATGAGAGGCACTGTCACCACAGAGTTTATTTAAGGAACAGGACTTGTTATTTACTGGGCTTGACTGGGAAAAGCCACCTGTCCCCAAAACGACACGGTTCATTTTCAGAGGCAGGCCTCAAAGCCATGCTTTTGAGTGGTTGACAGTTTCTACACCAGACGTCGTTTCACCTGCTCTGTCAACGCCTGAAATGGCCCACTGGACAACGGCAAGCTAAACCAGGGCGAGTGTAACCGATCGAAGCCCTCTCCCATCTCCTCGGACACGTCCTGCCCCATGTGCCACAAGCCTGCCTTTCCTCGCTTTTCTCTGGTTTTCCACCATGGGAACCCAGATCACGTGGCCACTGATTCATTCGGTGAATGTGAACGAGTGGTTGCCCAGGGCCTAACACTGTCCTTTCGTGATCAGAACACAGGACAGGAGAGTGCCCTAGTCCCAGATGCAGCATATGTGCCAAGACCCCCCAGTCAGAGCAAAGGTGACCAAGACCCCACAGTCACAGTGAACTCGGAGAGTTAGGGGTCAAAGGTGGCCACCATGGCGGCCCAGACTCAAGTCCTGCTTTCTCCACGTATGAGCTAAGACAAGCTGCCCATTTCCACACCTATAATACAGACACAGGACAGAGGTGTAGTCAGCTGCAGGGGTCCAGGTGAGGAGAGAGAACCCAGGCATGCCCAAAGCAGCAGGACGGGAGAGTAGGAGAAAGGGGATTAAAGGCCCAGGAACCTGGACAGAGGAGCAGTCAGCCGCAGGAACCAAGGTAAGGGTGGTACGAGAGGTTTCCAACAGGGAGACAAACTTGTCTGTCGGTTTGGCCTACCATGGTGATGTGTTGATGTGAGTTTTGAGGCTGAGCCACTGGTGTTTCAAACCAAGCGGGATACAAATGGTGCACAGGTATCAGCCCAGCTCACAGACTGAGACAGACTAGGAAGAAGGAAGAGGCCATCCATTTCTCAAATAATTGGCCAGGGAAAACCTTATGAATAGCAAAGAAACACTGATACACTACCACACAACTTTATGAATAGTCCGGTTAGGTTAGAAGGCTCTCAATAGGACTGGGAAAGAGCTGCATCATCTGAGTAAACCCAGCCTTAGTCCTATGGATTGTTGTTGTTGTTGTTATGTGCCGTCGAGTCAGCCCCGACTCATAGCGACCCCTCCTTGGGTTTCCGAGGCAGTATCACTACGGAAGTAGGATTG